CGTCGTCTTCCGTGAGTGGATTAGGTTCTCCTTGGAGGACGCCAAATTGGTCTGGTGACCCAAAAATCAACTAAAGCGACAAAGGTAGTCGATTAAATAACTACGACTCTTGGCTGTTAGTTTCTAAATTAGCCGAGGATAGCTGTTGCCCTTCAATCCTCAGTAAATGTGGCCACAAAGTAGTCACTTTTGTAACTACATGAATTACTACATACGCACACATGAATATCCAGTGAGTAAAGGATTTTAGCACAGCTTCCGTGGCTTATCGCTTCAGGCGATTTTCTGGAACACATTAACCTCCTTCTTTGAGTTTATTACTTACACAAAGCGTAATCATCTATTAAAGAATGTTCTTTTGGTTGTTCGCTATTGTTCTCAGGCCTTATCCCCCCATTTTCTTTGCTTTGTTATTTATTTGTTTTGTTTTAATTTTTTTTTGTTGTTTTTTATTTTCATTATGGCTTAGAGTACAGGACAGGGGGTGTGTCTTTGCTATATGTGCATATGTTTCGGTGTAGTAAAAAGAAATCCATAATTTTTCGAAGAGATGTCGTTATTTATCTGTATCTCGCGTCGTATCCAATCGGGTTTCGCTAAATAGCGTTAGAAAGATGATGTATTTAGTTTTGTTTTAGTGTGCGTCAAAGACATTGTATTTACAGTCCTACAAGTAGAAAAACTATCATCTGATCAAAAAACAGCTGAGATCAGGGATGTAATAAATGTAACCGATATGAATAGTACTAAAGTTTGCCGTTAGTAGTATATAAAAGAGCAAATTGAATTTTGAACTATATTTACATTTAGATAATTAAAATGTTCTGAAACATAAACGTATAATAATAATTTCATGACTTTTTCAAAATTTAAAACTTCCCGTTTTCTTTGTTGTGGTAAATGTAAATTACATCATGCAGGGCTATCAAAATATTTCTTTAAGAGTGGGGATTCAATATATGTAATATAATTGGCGCTTTATAACCGCTGAAGCGACTTTCCGGCCGAGCTCGTCCTCCAATTTGTGGTTTTGCGTCTTGACGTTTTTTTCAACAAATGGAAAAACCTACAGTTTATTCTAAGCCGTCTCCGAACGGCTGATGAGCAGCCTTTATTTTATGTCCGAAATACACTCCCTGCCGAGGAGTAACCCTAATTAGAAAATTTAACTTAATTTTAATTTAATATATGCCTTAAATTTTAAAAATACAATAATAAATGTAAACATTCATTAATAATAAAAATTGTATTTACATAACATTATCATTCATGAAACTGAATATCAACCTTTACTTTTTTTACATCTTAGTCTTTCAAGTGAAAGTTTGAAGCTTTCACCGAATATACATTTAGCGCGGCAACACACCCAACTTAATACTAACGGTCTTGCTAGAGATTCAGAGAAACGTAGCAAAAAATTTACCTAGGCAACCCGCGGTTCGTGCCTGTGGTTGGTGCCTATCCTCAAATTCGCTTTTGCATTCCATTGCAATTCCTTTCCTTCGCACAGCATTCAACTAAATATGTATGGGTGCGTGAAAAAGTTCGCTTGGAAGTGTGAAAAATATGAGGTTCGTGGTTTCTACAATGGTCAAAGATGGACACTTGCAAAGAGAAAATATGCTATATTTTAAGGGCGAAAACGCAAACGTGGTCCTGACACTGTTACAGTCACAATTTCGATTTCATTCCGGTAATTTTGATGGGAAAAAATCTTCACGGAGTGGAAGGCCAATTGTCGAAAATGTCGATAAAATCATGGACAGTCCGACCGTCATGCAAGCATTGCTTCGATTGCCCAAGAGCTACGGATTGCGCAAATAATTACGGTTTGGAACCATTTGACAAATACTGGATATGAAAGGTAAAAGTTAAAGCCTTCAATTTTAGGCAAAAATAATGGATTTCTTTTTACTATACCTAATATATACGTATATATGTATGTATAAAGCATATTTGATGGCAACTTGTGGCATATTTTAACGGTTGGGAAAAACAAAATGCGTCAGAAAGAAGAAAACAATGTAATGAAACGTGTAATAAACCAAACTTTTAGACTTTTTAGCAATAATATGCATATATATGTATGTAAGGCTGTACGAAAGTAGATCTGCTTCTTCTGGTAATGTTGCAGCAACAAAATTTCACTCTTTTGTGCATTTGTTGCAAAGCAGAACAAATGTTAAAGTGGAAGAAAACATGCATACTCAGCGCACAACAATGAAAAGCGAACTCAAAAACAAAAAAAAAAAAAAAATCGGAAAGTATAAACTCCGGCCAATACTCTTGGTTACTTACAGCCGGAAATATACAGGACACTTGAAAACGAACTCAAACTCAAACTCAAACTACACACATACACACATACACAAACAAACAAGTAAAAACTGCAAATTCAAGCATAACAACAAAAAAGTTTGCACAAATCAAACTCATAGTTCAACGACCGTTCTACTCTTGACGTACCGCTTACGGCGTTATGCTGCTGCCAAGCTGACTCAGTGAACTGCACCATGGTGTGGATAGTTGACAGATGATGAGAGGTGATATGTTGTGTCAACGCCATCACTATTTGGTACATATTAGTTTTTTCGTGTTGTTTTTGTTGTTGTTATTATTATTATTATTACTGTACTAGCGCTACCTGTGTGTTTGTGAGCGTGATTGTCTGTCTGTTGGTGTCTGCCTCACTTTGCTATGGGCCAAATAGGAATTCCGAAAAGCGCATCCATGTCGTGAAGCTTTGAGTTGAGCGTGCACTAAGCGGGAGGACTTAAGGGAAGTTGACGGTGAGGAGCTCGTCAAACTGACTTGCTTTTCGCATCGGCTGCGCCTAGTAGTGCAGAGCGTGAGAGGTGCAAGAGCGCTCAAAGCCTCGTGAATGAGAGGTTATTAGAAAATTTAAATTAAGGCATATTGATTCTGGGCCATTGATGAGCTGAGCGCAAGTTTGAAATACAAAATAAAATGAAATAAAGAGTGCTGCCTATGTTTATTGGAGGGGGGTGACAGTTTTGTGTGCTCATCCGCACTCCTTGTGTGTCTTTAATTTTGAAATATATAATTTATTTTAAAGGATCGAAATTTTATTTGAATAATTGGACTAAATATCTATCTTCCTGTTCTTTAAACAGTTTGTACCGCTTTCACTTATGCATAACTAAGAAAGAATATTAATGGGTATTTTTTAGACATGTGGACCAAGAAGGAACCACTTTTTGCCAGTATGCCAGTAATAACTCGCCGAAAATCTCTTCCAAGGCATCAGTCGTCAGGCTCACGACGCGAGATGAGGCGCTCTCCAAAAGCTCTCTTCAATGAATTCATTATTTCCCTGGCTGCATGGCATGTAGCGCCGTCCACCAATTCAGATACAAAAAAGTTTTAAATCATGGCTCTAAAGCATTCCCCATTGACTGTGATATTATGACCGACGTAATTGTTTAATTTATGGATCAATAATCACTCTGCCCATAGAGCACACCAAACAGTGACTCTCTGAAGATGTAACGGCGTCTCAATAATGGCTTGCACATTATCATCACTCCATATTTGGGTCCTTTGTGATACTCTCTCCACAGTAGCGATAGCGTCTTAAGTGCGTATTGTGCGGCAACTATAGTGAGGCCTGTGCGAAATCGTTCCACTGTTGCTCAAATTGCCGACTCTGCTGGGCGGTTCCCGACCGAATATTCGCGCAGCGGCACGATGATGCACATAAATGCCTGATTTTTAACCAAAACAAAATATGGTTTGCTTGGCAGTTTAGTTTGACAGATTTCAAAATACAGCTCTGTAATTTGAAAACCATGAAATGTATAACCCTATATTTATACAGCTCAAATTCAGTATATATCGGCCCCGAGACCTTTCTACAGTTTATTTGGGTAACACAAAGAGAGGTAGATGTTTAGGTGCTTGAAATATAACTCCACTCCTACACGCAGCACATTTTGGGAGGATTGATATGGTATCTTCTTTTAGTAGGTATCCCCACCGGGAAGCAACAGTGAACGATCAGGTTCAACCCATTTGGAGATGTTTCGTCGTTGGGGCTGAATTTTCCGAAAGTTTTGCTCAACCTGTTGTTAAAGTCGCCGAAGCAAAACTTTTGTGGTCTCTCATCCTTATATATTTCTTGAGCATGGAAATTCGCTTTCTCACTTTAGCTCGGCTCCAAACGGATGTTTGTAGGCTACCCAGAGGACATTCGGTCTAAGACCGGAGATTGTGAGCTGTTTGAATCTTATGTAAAATAATCGCTTTTAAGCCACTTCTAGGTGGAAATGACACCAGTCAGAACAGTAGTTGTATTTGACTGATGTCATGTTCCCACTGTGCGGGGGATTAGGAGCTGCTAGGTAGCTCTCGCAAGGGAGGAGGAAAAGAAGTTGGTTGGAGGTAATGCTGGGGATTGGTGGGTGTCATGTTGCGGGTAGCTGGGTGAGACCGTAGAGCTTTCTTGTTTTCCCAAAGTGGGTAAAGGTGCTGAAGGCACTGCCGTGGAGGCTACTTGGCGTATTTGAGTGCTGGCAGCACTCTATAGATCCTAAGGTCTGAGCAGACCCTAAGATGACTCCAACCATTGTGCTGGTGAAAGAATGGTGGAGTCTTTCATGGCACATGCAGCAGAAAGAATCCATCGGCCTAAGGTTGGTTTCGACACCAGTCCAGATAACAAGGATTTAGAGGGGTAAGATCGCCGAAAGGGTAATAACCCTTGGCCGGATGAAATCCGGATCAACTCAGGTCCGTGGAACCGGTTGGATTCATCTTCTCCTACGGCCGAAGGCAGCGCTTATTTCTTGTTTCTTTAGTACTGGGGAAAAAGGTTCGGATTTGAAAATTTATTCAGAAAAGATTAGTGCTCTAATGTGCTCTAACATAAAAATGATTTCTTTTAAAGGATGAAACAACAAAAAAGAGAAAGAAAATAAAAGAAAACTATTACTTTTATATCTAATAAATTTATTCGTATTTTCACTCTTCTCCTCTTTCAGATTATCAGCTACTATCTACAAGGAAATTTACATTGACGTCTTCTACAAGGCAGTTAAAAATTAGTAACATAATCCAGAAAACGACCCCACCAAAATTTTTTTTAGACACCAAGGGTAAAAAATTAAAAATATTCACCAATATTTTACTGTAAAAAAAATCAAACACCTGGAAACCTTTAGCTGTGGTCCATAATATTCAAACTTAAATCATACTTATACCAGTAGTGGTGTACTTTATACATCCGTAAAACCCAAAAAATACTTGGAGAACCATACAAACAAGTGCATTTTAGATGCTCGTCTTTTTCATACAGTCTCAAGCATCGGCGTTAGTACAAACCTTTTCGAAATTGACATTTGGCACGTCAACTTTACAACCTTACAACCTTACAACCTACAATAACAACAGTAAGAACAATCCACTATAATTTGGGTTGTGTATTTGCACGCAGCGCAGCATAACTCACACACACACACACACACACACACCCATTCGTGCAATACAAACACATTTTTCGGCTGCCTCACTGCACATTTGTCGGCGTCGGCAATTTCCGTAAATTTTGTCAAATCCTGTCAATTTTACTTAATTCTCTGTCAAACTGAGTGCGAAGGGGAAGAAGAAAATTTCACCAATGTTATGCTGTGGATTCTGTTGCGGCAATATGTCGAAACGTGATTACAAGGTAGCCACAACGGATGGCATCGAACTGGAGCCGTTGGGTGGCGAGAAAATCGACAAAGAAAAGGATAAGGATAAGGAAAAGCAAACGAACGGTGTGACTTTCGGTAAGTAAATTTAAACAATATTAATGACAATTGAGTCGGCTTCTTACATTTATATTAGACAGGACGGTTAGTATCCTGTGTAAGTTTATAGGTTACATGGTTTTGAGACACATATAAAATATTAACCGTGTGCTTTTTGTGTTATGAAAACAAATTTGAAAGTTTTATAAAAGGCTATCAGACGAGAAGTACAGTAAATCGGCTCAGAAAGCTATCAGACTCATTATTCCGGGAAATGTTGCTACCAATATGATACTTTGATGCTCCACATTGGAGGGTTGAACCTAAACTGCCGGATCAATCTAGTTTGCTTCAAGTGCGTGTACAATCGTTGAGTAGCAAATAGTATTGGGACCGAATTTGCAGGGAGTGATTACTTTATTTCCAGCGACAGCAGTCATAAAAAGTTAGAGGACTGCGAGCAGCACCACCTACAATAACCGCTAGATAATACGTCTTACCGTCAGGCATTAAACATCATTCACCGAGAGCTTCTGAACTTTTTTCCAGTGAATGGCGTTCTCGGTATCAAACCGCTACCCATTACAGACGAAGAGCTCGAGCTGCCTAGGAAGCTTCGCGTAATACAGATGTAACTTAGATCTGGATATTGTAGTAGACTAAACTCCTACCTATCTAGACTTGACCACGACATACCTAACATATGTCCTGCATGAGTCTCCGCACACCACACCACTAACCTCTTTGCATGCCACCTAAAACTAACTCATCTAACCACCCTTTTTCCTCTGGTCGGAACCCGTCGAAACACCTCTTTTGCTGGACCAAGCATTAGATGACCCCTATGACTTAGACTAGTCTTGACTGCTCATACGAGTATAAGTTTCTAGCCATCCGGACATACATACATATATGTAGAAGCATTGTAGACCAGATAACTTATAACAACTGTTATACTTCTAATAATTGTAACAAGTTCTCTTGCAGACGTACGACAAACGACGGACTGAAGAAACTGATTCTTCTAGATATCGCATTGACTGACCTATTTATATCCACATGAATTTGCTCAGCCCGGACATTTGTACCGTGAGTACTTGGACCACCGAAAATGTACAAGGAACGAGTCGAGCGAGCTTTAATACAGACTCTAAAGCAATTTGTGGTGTGTGCCTTTATATGTTTCCAACAAATGGAAGGACTAACAGTATATTATAACCAAATCCGATGGGCTTATGACAAGCTTTTGATAATTTTGACACTGATCGCTTAAAGAGTGATAGCTGACAGAATATGGTTGGTGGAGAGTATGTCCGATGATTGGAACTTTAGTATGCTCTACGAAATGCTTAAAATGGGTGACCCCACAGTTTGCGCCATTTAATGTGGGGTCAGACGTTTCAATATCACATACAATATAAAGTACTGTCTAGCGTTTTGTGGGAACGACCGAAGCCCAGTATGAATGAGCTGATTAGTTTTATCTGGGAGATTCACCATATACAAGATATTGAGTTGAGTTGAGTTGGTGTACCTGGTACCTACTTGTCAGTGACCAACGTACTTAGGCCAGTAGGCCCATTGTAATATCGCTGTGAAGCTCCTGTCTTTACGTTATCAAATATTCGAGCCATTTCGTGTGCTTTATAAAGCCAACAGATTACAAATTTTCGCTGAATCAATCGAATAAGTATTTTCAGTGGAGCTTGATGTCAGGGCTGGATACAAATAGTATTCAATATACTCTTTCTCGGCCTGTTAATATACCTGTCGTTATGTTCATGGAGAAGAAGTTTTGATTTTTTTCCGTCCAAATTTTGCATTGGTGTCTAGACCTCATCCAGCCAACCAGAGTCTGCTTCTTTGACAAAGGTCAGTTGAAGCGTATACTTTGGACAAAGGTAAACCCGCGTCCTCAGCATGTTTTATTGTGGATAGAAGAGCTCCCTCTCTCGCTAGTTCGGTCTGCCATGCGATTGCAGCTTTGTTTTTAGTCGAGAGTTTGTTCAGATTGTTCTTTAATTTAGAGCCACTTTAGATGTGATACCGTTACATTGCAGAGATCCGATGGCAGCTGGACTGTTCGAATATATTATAACTGAATTCCCTGCTGCCTTTGATTTGAGCAGCCACTTACCGGCTTCCATGATGCAATGAGCTCTGTTTGAAAGACGCTACAGTGATCTGGTGTCTCAAGTTCATATTTATTGAGAGCATCGGAGAGTGGAGCCCACTTTTCCACCGAACTTTGAGCCGTCTGTAAAGATGGCTCCTTGATCGAGGGCGTTTGTGTTTGCCCATTTATTTCTGTTTGGAATTCTCTTGGAAAAGCGAATGTCGAAGCACATACTAGATATGGTATAGTCCAGTTTCCTAGGCACTTTTTCAGAAGATAGTATTTTTGCGTATTCTTCCAAGGCTGAGTTGCATTCAATCCATTTGCATAGAAGTACGCTTGTAATTTCCCGTACAGGTTCAGAGGAGGGAAGTTGAGAAGAGTTAGCAGTGCTTTTGGGGAGCTTACTAGATATTCAAAATATGCACAAATCCGAGAACAACCACGAGGGAATGATCGAAACACACATCACGAAAAGAGCTCGATGCAAAATTGAAGATGAGCAACACCAAAAGTTCGGTCAGAATCAAGAACAGCCCGCCAAGCCATTCGAGACCAAGCAATGTTTCAAGCAACGTGTTTCTCTGTCTTTCTCTGTTTCTCTACTTTGTGCTGCAAGTCTTAATATAAAAGGTAAAATGGCATCATCGGGTTCGATAACAGCGCGTTTAGTTCTGAATTCTGCAGCCTGAATAAGGAAGCGAGGCGTAGGGATCTGGCATATGAAGCAGCATTAATAACAATAATAATGTCAAACTTGAAATCCAATGCAGATTAACTCATAGGTCAAATGTAGATTCATTTCTCAACGAACGTATAATGCAGAAGCCTGGATAAAGACAACAGCCAATGAGTCACCACTGGGGGCTTGCGAGATAAAGGTTTGCGGAGGATTTAAGTCCCTTTGCTTATGGAAGATGGCGAATACCGCAGATATACTTCACCGAATTAAGAGACAGCGGTAAGAAGAAGAGTGAAAGGAGAAGAAAATCACTGCTCCATTGGAAAGATTAGGAGAAGAAAGATTTGGTAACACCGGATGCCTCCACTAACCCGTTTTGTATAGCGACTGTTTTGTAGGGAGACAGGATTTTCGGTTTGGAAAAAATATTTTTTCTCAATGAAAAGCTTGTACACTTCGACACCTCAAATTCTACGAAAGCAGCTTTTAATAGGTTAAATATATTTTAACGGGAATTCGCTTATTTTGTGCAATTTTACTTTCATTCTTCCTGCGTCTATTGTTTTCCCCATAATAGGGCAGTTAAGTTAAAAGGATTTCTAAAAACCTCCGGGCGACAGAAGCAAAACCAGCAGCTTGTTGCATGCCACACAAAACAAAAAAAAAAAAAGAAACAAAAACAGAGCCGAAAGAGTAAGAAGAGAAAAATGAATAATAAAAAATAATAAATACATATAAAATAAAAGTAAAATTGTTGCGTGCGTGTATGTACATAAATATATAAGATGGTATATTGGTATGTGTTTGTTTTATGGGCACGACAATTGCTTAATTGCACTCTTCTTATTTATCGCTTCACTTATTTTCACACATTTTCGCCAAAGCCACGTTAGGCCACAAGCAATACTGTCGAGCCATGCTCCAACACATAGAAGTCAATTTCGTGTACACTTATGGAAGTATGTTTGTACATATGTATATGTATGCATTTCGGTGGGATACGCTGAAAAGGACAGTGCTGCATGAATGACTCACTGCATTACCGGGTTGTTGACAGAGGCTGACTAATTTCGTATGCCGGGAGCAGCCACATTAAACGTTCTCCAGCGCTCTGCAACGTTCCCTTTCATTTATTGTTTCTTCATTGTTTGTACTTTCTAGTTATTATTTTTAATTAAAACAACAAAAGTGTCAGACCACAAACTACAACAACAGTAATAATAATAGAAAAATTGTCGACGGCAGCTGTGCCCAACCAATGAAAGTATGCATTTTCGCAGATTCTTAGTAGAATTAGCGCGTACCATATTTAAGTTGTCACACGGAGCTTACGTATGTATTAGAAAGCAAGCGAAATGAATATGCTGGCTCCTAGTGAGTAATGCACTTGCGATTCCGCTAAATCACCCTTAAAACGGAAACAACCTGATTTCCATCTGGCAGACAGTAACAAGCTTGAGTTTCTACATTTTGTGCTTTTTTGTTACTTTTTCCACTTGTAAACGAGGCAGGGACATAGAAGATGAGATTGCTGTGAGCATACACGTAGCTGTGAGAAGCAGATTTGATTATTTTTTTGCTGGTCTCGCCCTAACTAAAGTGTCGTACACTTTGGCATACCGCAGACACGCCCCAATCAAACCACAGACATGACTAAAAAGTAAAAATAATGAATGCTGCAAGAGATACTGCTGTAACTATGAAGCTTTGAGTAGACGCGGTACAACAAACAAGGTACATGCTGATAAAAGATGGGAAAACAACGAGAATTGTGGCATTACAAAGAGAATTGAGGAAATCTCGCAGATACCTGGCATTGCAAAAATAGAAATTCTTCATATTGACATTATTGAGACAGCAACGATGAGGCTTGCACGGAGTAAAATACTTATGTGCGCTAAGTCACTTGAAGAAGAATTGGACATTAAAAAGTGCTTGAACTGGATCTCTGATCAATCGTATTACTGTTGGCACCCGATTATCTCCTGCATTCAAATAAGCAGTCATCGCATTTAGGACTTGGGTCCCACGTCACTGTTGATAACTTCGTCTGTCTTCGAACCAGTATTAACCCCTACAACAATGTCAGCCTGGAAATCCAGCTCTTAATCACTTTTGCCAACAGGTTCTACTTCGGACTGGGGCAATTTAAAAGTAAAATCCTCTCTCAACGAACAAAAACGAAATTCTGCCGCTGTCGCTAATTATTCCCGTGATGCTATTTGGATGCTATCTGATGAG